CATGAACATACACATACACACACACACACACACATACCTACCTACCTACATACATACACACACAGCTTAACTCTCCCACACTGCTGCAGGGTCCTGTGATGGTGGCCAGCTCGCAGGGAGGCATGAACATACACATACACACACACACACACACACATACCTACCTACCTACATACATACACACACAGCTTAACTCTCCCACACTGCTGCAGGGTCCCGTGATGGTGGGCAGCTCGCAGGGAGGCATGAACATCGAGGACGTGGCGGCGGAACACCCCGACGCGATCGTCCGCATGCCCATAGACATCGTCGACGGCCTCGACACGGACACCGCGCTCAAGATGGCCGACAAGATGGAATTCTCGCGCAACCTGCAGCCGCAGGTGGGTAGCCGCGTGGCGACGGCGCCCATCTAGGGAGGAGTGGAGCGCGGGCGTGACTTACGAGGCGGCGGCGGCGGCGGTTTTCTCTTCATTAATAAATAATAATTTAATTAATTATAATTTAATGAATAATGATAAAAAATGACGAATAATTAGTTGTAATAATGGATAAATAATTATAATTAATAAACTGAGGCAGCGATGGCTCGGTTAACTGACCCGTCCGAGTGCTCGGTTTCCGACGGCGACACGCGCGATTTCTCACCGCTTGTTTTTGTTCATGCGTCGCAGGCCGCGGAGCAGATGGTGCGGCTGTACAACCTTTTCGTCGCGAAGGACGCCTCGATGATCGAGATCAACCCAATGGCAGAGGATGCGACGGGAACGAGTGAGTCACGTCGCTACGCGCGCACGCGTGTGCGTGCGTCAGCGCGATTTGTTTTTAACAGCTTTCCCTATTGTCCGTTTACTACTTGCTTTTTATTTTTGTAAATATTTTTTTTAAACTTTTTTATTACTTTATTTTCATTATATTTATGTTTTACAATTGTTATAGAAATCGTGCCCCGCTGCTTGCACCTTCTTTGTGAACGGGAGACCCGTTTCTAGTCTCACTTGTTATTCTCTGCATTTTTGTCTCCCGCTTCAGTCTACTGCATGGACGCCAAGTTCAACTTTGACGACAATGCCGAGTATAGGCAGAAGGATGTGTTTGCGATGCGTGACTGGAGCCAGGAGGATTCGCGTGAGATGGAGGCCGCAAACTTCAACCTCAACTACATCCACCTCGACAGTGACATCGGCTGCATCAGTGCGTGCGCGCGGAAATTGGAAAGTAAAGTCCCTCTGCTGCTCCTTGTTCTTCGTTGTCTTGTCA